CCTCCCCTCCAAACCCTGCCCCCCTGGTTCCATCCCCCAAATCTCCAGATTTTTCCCAACCCAGAGCTGGCAACCTTAATACCAGGCCTTATTTGTCTTTTTCAATATTTGTTCCCAGGATGACTGCACCCCCTCTTTGTTCCACTGTGGGGTACAGTGGCCTTAAAGGCCCATAGCTTCCTCCAAGATTTCCTGAAGCCCCAGGACAAGGATAGCACAATGAATGTTTCCAGGCAGTGCCTGGCAACCAGCAGGAGGGCTGGGGGGGCAGAGTCTTGGGATGAAAATTAAAAAGAAAAATAAGGCCTCAGCTACTTACCAGAAGTTCTGACCATAGAGTTCCTGGCAGTTCCTAGATCTACCAGGAACTGACAAGGGCAGCTCTAGCAATTACCATAGAGTTTCTGGCAATTGTTTTAGAGCTCTCTTATCACTTGTAGATAGCTCTAGGAATCATCAGGCGCTATATGGTCAGAACTTCCCACAAGTATACCAGGTAGGGTTGATAACTACCACTTAGCACCTGGAGATCTCCCACAATTATAACTAACCAAGATGAGTTCCTCTGGAGAAAATGGCTGCTTTGGAGAGTGACTTCTATGACACTATATCCTGCTGAGGTTCCTCCCCTCCAAACCCTGCCCCCCCCGGCTCCATCCCCCCAAGTATCCAGACTTTTCCCAACCCAGAGCTGGCAACCTTAATACCAGGCCTTATTTTTCTTTTTAATTTTTGTAGCCAGGGTGATTGCACCCCCTCTTTGCTCGCAGTTTCTGCCCACTGATCAAATCAGCATCATCAGCAGGCAAGGCTGGAGGTCTCCCACCATAGGCAGGCAAATGGGAACCCTGGGCACAACACGGTTTGTTATGGTGAAAGCTGAGGCATTCCCCAATGCCAGGAACAAATTTGGTAGTAGTGTGCTGGTGGATCAGTCCCCTTCACTTGGGGTACCATCCAGGGGACTGACAGCAAGACCCTGTCCTGTTAGAAGAGGATCTGAGATCATGGGTGTAAGCTTGTGATAACACCAAGAGTGCCATCACACCTGGTCACAGGATGTCCCACTATACCTGGAAATTCATCTTCTGCGTGCTCATTGGCTCTTAGAGGACCACACACACATAAGCGGACTGGACACCTCATCCAGCACCTCATATGCTTTCACCCTAGAACTAACTCTATTAGTTGTCTGAAAAACTATAGGGTGTTAACTATAATGAAGAAAAGAAAGAAAACCTGCCACTTTCTACCTGTTGTTTTGATCTGCAGCTTGTTCAGATGATCATTTAAAATTAAAAAGTTAGCATATCTCTCTGAAGCAGTTCTGATAGAGATGATGTCATAGAAATATGTATTCTTAGTATGTTAACAAGATCTATAACACAGAACTCCTCAACACTCCTTAACCATTTTTTTTGTTAACATAACCAGGAATGGTGAAGAGTAGAACAACGACAGAGACTGGTTACTTCACTTTCAGTGTGTGTGTGTGTGTATACACACACACACAGAATGTTGTCTAAGGACCCATTCATATTATTAGTCTGGCACAGTGATTCTGTGAGCTGAGTGGGGTTGGACTGTTTGAGACATCCTGAAGCAGTTACATGTATCCTCGGTTCACAACTCAGCTTATATTTACTGCCCCATTAGTCAGTGCACTTTTGGGAGATGTGTAGCAGACATGGAGTGAGTGAGAACCTGTGCATGTGGTGAAGTAGTCATATTTTATGAAGTTTTATTTCTGCTTTACTGTTGTTACCCGCCTTGGGAGAAAGGTAGGTTTATAAAAGTTTAAATAACCAAATAAGTGCCAATTGTAGTCTCACACACAAAACTAAGCCTTGGTTAGCACAGTTTGTGTACTCACCATACCAATTAAATAGTGTCATATGAATCAGCCTAAAGCCACCCCAGTGACATCGTGACTAGAAATAGAAAGATGACTGAATAAAGCATTATGCTCATGGAAAGGCCCTTGGTGTGAACAGCACAGGTACTTATTTCCAAAGACGTCCTGCCCAAAGTTGTATCACTAAAACAGCTATTCACCTTTGTTTTAAGTCCTTGGCACTAGAGCCTGACACAGCTGTTGGTCAATTACTATCTTCTAAACCAAAGAATCATGTCACAGCCCGAAAGGATTGTTGCTCGGTCCTTCAAAACTTCCTTGAAGACTAATTTCTTTTAAGCTACTATACATTCAGGGAGCATTTCACACTAAACCTACCCATGGAGACTCACTGGAGCACTTCCAATGGGGCTTAACCAGGGGGAGGTGTATAGCAGCTAAGCCCCCATACCAGGACTTATCCCTAAAACATGTAATAACAATAAAAAGGCCTTTATTCATGTGCAAAGTGCTGTTTTAATTTGCGTAGAGCACATTTGCAGAGTGTACCTTTCTTGTTGATGTGTATTCTATCAGTGTACACAACTGCTGGGATTACAGTTGAACTTTTAAAACAGACGGAACAATTTTCAGACAGATGTGAGATTTTGCATTTCAGAGTCTTAGGAGATAAAGCAGGGCATTAATACTTGGTTCCAAATATACCACTTGGCGATTTGGAGTGCACCCTCTGAACAGCAGGTGGGACTAGCTCTATCAGTGACACAGTGCAAAAAGCAACACAGCTTGAGGCAGGAAAAGTTAGGAGAAAGAGAAAATTCTCAGTACACACAGACCATTTTCAGAGGTGACACTAAAAATGCCTTTTGTTAGTTAGAAAGGAAATACCAATAACTAGCATTTATATAGTACTTTTGACATTATCATCCCCCTTGACATTACATTATCTTGTTGTAACAACAAGGCCGTAAAGCCTGCAGTACAGATGCTGAAAGACTGTGGCCTGCTTAGGGCCAGCAAGTGAGTTCATTGCAGAGGTGAGATTCAAACCAGGGAATCCTGGTTCATAACTCTGAGGTGTCGATGACATGGGATGCTGGGCATTCTGAGCTCCTGGCCTGATTCAGATCAGAGGTGTTGAGTCCCGGGCTATTTTCTTAGCATGGAAACAGCCCCAGACAGCTGCTGTTTGCCTCACTGGGGTACACTAATGGGTACGCATATCAGGATGTGTCTCTTCCCCCATTGAGGTAAACAGCAGCTTCCTGGGGCCTTTTCAAGATGAAAAAGCAGCAAAGAAGGGAGAAGGCTCAAACTCCTACTCTACTCCCTGCACATCCCAGCTGGAAACAGATGCCTGGGCACATGGTGTTTTTTTTTTAAAAAAAGCTGGGAGCTCTATTCACAGAACTCCCAAATATCACATGCAGCTGAGCCCTTAGCCACTATGCTACATCAGCTCTCTATTGCAGGACAGAAAGCAGACAAAAAGGCAATATTAAGTCTTCCTTCCATCCAGTATAAAAGTTTTATACATCTTTTAAACATGCACCTAAAAACGTGAAGTGTACATGCAACAACACACCTGTGTTAAGGGCACACCTGTCAGGAAGCTAGGCTTGGCTGCAACTCCTCACTGAGTGTACTTATGATTGTACACCTGGGTTTGCTTCAGCAAATTACACATTACCTGTATATCAGTGATACCTTTATCTTTAAAAAAACCCACCTATATAGCTGCTGATACTGGAATCTGAAAGCAAGAACCAGCAGGAGTTTTCATGCCATATAGTCACTGACAACCACACTTCCCTTCCCTACTGTTTCTACGCTGGGGGTGGTGGGGGACAGGGGGAAATATTCTAGTACCTGTACAGTGCAGGGTAACTGAACTACAAATACTGGAATAACAAAAGCGAGTCTTAGATGTGAAACACTTTACATCTACATTTGAATTTCCTATGAAGGAACTGCCACCCTCCTCCCATGCTGAAGCATCATTTGTGTAGACAGCCTGATGTACCATGCTAAAGAATCCTGAATAACTAGCAGCACCTGGGTCCTTAGCCACATCCAATGCTCCCTCTAAGCATTGGAGTCTTGTGAGCAAAACTTCTACTTTGTGAGCTACCAGCATTAAAGTTGTGAGCGAGCGATTTGGCTGCTGCATGAATTAGTTTGCTCTGGAGCCCTCCTTCCTGAGCTAAGGCAAAAATGTGTGAGCTGGAGGCTAAAAAACTGTGAGCCAGCTCACACTAACTCATCTTAGAGGGAACAGGGACCGGCCAGGGACCGACCTACCTGAGGGACCGCCTTCTCCCATACATACCCCAGAGAGCACTACGGTCCGGGGCCCAACACCGGCTGACTATTCCGGGCCCCAAGGTCGCAAGGCTCACCAGGCTCCTTACTGGTGGAATGAGCTCCCGGAGGAGATCAGGGCCCTGCGGGACCTTTTACAGTTCCACAGGGCCTGCAAGACGGAGCTCTGCCACCAGGCCTTTCAATAGGAGCCGCCACCACTGTTAACACCAATGATCCTAGCGAATGCTTGGATCTTAGATCTGGCCCTGACATATCGCTAGGCCTTCCGGTGCGAGGATGATGAGCTGTGGAACAACGCAGAATGAGATCTGGAAGCACACCATCTAATTTGTAGTACCGTATGCACTTTATTGTTAACTGTTAACTTATGTTTTAAATTATTTGTTATGAGATTTTATAGAGTTTTTAAGTTTTATGTATGTCAATCAGGTACATTGTACCGTTTTGTTAGCCGCCCTGAGCCTGCTTGCGGGATGGGCGGGGTATAAATATAATAAATAAATAAATATAACACTGGCCACATCTAGTGCAGATTACAAAGGCCAAGTCTGTAACTCTGAACATGCATTCAGAAGGATAAGTGTCTGTGGGGTCTCTTAATTGTGTGGGGGTGGGTCTATCACTGCTGCCTTTCTTCTTTTTAAGGCAGAGGCATTGAAGGCAACTAATCAATACCCTCTTCTTGAGAGGGAGAACAAAGCGCTTTTCAAAAGCGCTTTTCAGGGGGTCAACCGGGCAGCCCCCCCCCCCCCACTGATGACAAGCGTCGCTAATGAGAGCCGTGCTAACGGAGAGCCCCGCTGAGCCGTGCCTCACTCACCTGCGTTGTAGAAGCGGTCCAGCACGGCCGTCTCACCGAAGTCCAGCTTGCCGAAGTGCAAAGTCTGCAGGTCGGCGCCGACCGCCTCGCACGCCTCCCGCAGGCTCTGCAGGGCCCCGCTCTCCGCCGCCTGTAGCAGCCCCGGGCTCGCCTCGTTGATCACGTAAGACACCGTCGTCCTCCTGGTGCCGCCGCCGCTGCTTTTGGCCCGGGCGGCCGAGTCGGTAGCCGGGCAGGTTGCGCCGCTGTCCTCGTTCCAAAAGGTGCCAGGCGGCGGCGCGCCTGGGCCGGCCAGGAAACCCCGGGCCATTCCTTCGCCCGCCGCCGGCGCTCTTCTCCCGAGCCCATCCTCGAAGAGGAGCGGGCAGCCGCCACCAGTGCCTGGCGGGCTGGGCACGGAGAAGCTGATGACCCCCTCACTGCTGTCGCTCATGCCCGCTCTCACACCTCTGCTTCCACAGGACGCGACTTTAGGCACATGCCGAACCGCCTCCGCCGCCACCTTCTCTTCCTCCCGACCTGACTTCCTTTCTTCAGCGACGCGCTGCTACCGAACGGCGAAGAAAGAGGGGCGGGAAAGGATCCCTTCCTCTGCCTCACAGTGCAGCAGAGCCGAGGGTGGCGCGACTTCCTCCGGTGCCCGCCAAAGCCACCATTGCGCACGGTTTTCCTGAGCTCCGCCGGCGTGCCAGGTTGCCGATCAGCTCACTTGGCAGCTGTGGGCGCCTTCGAAGAGCATGCACCAGCCTGCCTCGTCCTTCCGACAGCGCTTCTTCTCTCCCTCTTGACCAAACAAACCGCCGCCGTCTGCGCGAGCGCGGCTTTCACAGGCACGCAGCGTGCACCTCTCCAGAGATCGGGGTGTGTGGGGGGAAAACCCGGCCACTTGTTGCATTGCTACTGTGTACACGGTGCAGAACTGCCAGCAGCCGGCCCACGACAAGCCCCGCCTTTCTGCCTCAACCACGCCCCCTGCCTAGTAGTATAAGAACTGCGCATTCTTTCCTGCGCTTGTAAACAGAACATAAATCCCGAAGTTTAGAGAGCAGAATGTGCCCAGCTTTTGAAGCGGAAAGGCTCGCCGGCATTGTAAAGCGCCCTCTGCTGTTCCTCTCCCAGGCTCATTCTTTTTGCAGTAGGCGGCTGCTTTTTAAAAAATCTTTACAGAGGCTAGAAGAGCTGACCTCTCTGACGTTTCCTGAGTCAATGTATGCTTCCACTATCCATTTCCAAGTAGAATTCCATTGTGATTTCCTTGCTGGAAGAGAAAACGATAAACGTTACTCTAAAAGTAATAGGGAGTATTACACAAAGTTTAAACACTACTAATTATTCTTATTTGACTTAGTAAAAGGTAAAGGTTTCCCTTGCTATCTAGGGGTGGTGCTCATCTCCGTTTCCAAGCAAGTTGAAGAGCCAGCGCTGTCCGAAGACATTTCCGTGGTCATGTGGCCAGCATGAGTAGATGCAGAGGTGCAGGGAACGCTGTTACCGTCCCACCAAAGCGGTGTCTATTTATCTACTTGCAATTTATTTCATTCAAACTGCTAGGTTGGCAGGAGCTGGGGCCAGAGATGGGAGCTCACTCCATCATGCGGCACTAGGGTCTCAAACTGCCAAGCTTGCTACTGATCTTCCAGTCTACAACTCAGCGTCTTAACCTCTAAGCCACTGTGGCTTAGACTTAACACCTGTTTAAATGCATCTCTCTTGGACTTATTCCCCTAACATTATGCAGGACTGCCCAGAGCCACCATGCCCCCTCTGAAAAAGATTCCACCTCCCCCCCCCTTATGACTATAATCCAAACCAAATATCATAACAAAACAAATCCTTTGGCTTGCTGTTACCATAAATCTATAGTAATAAAAGAATTGTCCATGCTTGTTATTTATTTGGTGGTGGAAAGTGCCTTCAAGTCACAGCTGATTTATGGCAACCCTGTGGGGTTTTCAAGGCAAGAGATGTTCAGAGCTGGTGTGCCATTGCCTGCCTCTGCATCATGGCCCTATTTACTTGGTTTATATCCCACCTTTCTCTCCAGTGGGGACCAAAAGCAATTTACATCATTCTCCTCTCCTCCATTTTATCCTCACAACAACCTTGTGAGGTAGGTCAGGCTGAGAGTGTGTGACTGGCCCAAGGTCATCCAGCAAGCTTCCATGGGTAGAGTGGGGGGTCTGAACCTGGGTTTCCCAGATCCTTGTCTGACACTTTAACCACTACACCACACTGGCATGCATAACTAATCAGAAAATAAAGCTGAGAGACTCAAAATTGGTCACCAGCTTCAGGGTGGTTGTGGGAATTCCAGGGCCAAAACTGAAAGGCATGGGAAAATCCTAGCCCAGGTGAGACAAACCACGACCACATTGTGCTATTTGCAACAGAAGCTAAGGGTCTTTGTGGTGGGCATAATAAATAATGCTACATGTTTGAAATCTGGTCACCAACCCCAGAATGATGATGAAAATGAAGGGAACTGGCGCATCCTGAACTAGGCTTATCTTCACAACAGACAACATATAATAAGACGGCATTTAAGCAACCTGTCATGTGTCTCTAATACTCAGATCCCCAACCCGCCATGGAAGGTTGCTGGGTGACACACTCTCAGCCAGACCTACCTCACAAGGCTACTGTGAGGATCAAATGGAAGCCAGGAGAACAATGCAGCTTTGGGTCCCCAATGAGAAGAAAGATTGGGTATGGTATTTGGTATAAACCTAATTTTAATGATATTAAAAAGCTTACATCATTTGTCATATAGCAAAGTAGCCTTTACAAAGGGCTATCAGATCTTCCACCAGCACAATAATGATGAACGATCCAGTGCCTGACCTGGGAGTAGTAACTTCTGTTCCACATGTATAACCACTAAAACAGATTAAAGTTCCATTACCATGCATGTAAAGGGTGGAGGAGGGGGGAAGCATCCCTTTAATACTTTGTTAGATCATGGGGAAATATTAACAAAGGTTTGTTACTGCTCCTAAGTACATTCTATCGCCAAGCAGGATAGGGATGAGAAGGTCCTGAGACCAAGAAGGGAAAATAAAGGGGGGGGGCATGGAAAAATTAGTTGGAGGTAGATAGAAATGAATGGGAGAAAGTGAAAAAGAGGGAGATAAAGTAAGGAAAAGAGAGGGAAAGGTTGTTTTATCTAGTTGCAACTCTCTAACCACCCAGCCCCATAGCTAGATGGTTTTTTTTTGGGGGGGGGGATGATGTCACTTTTGACATCACAAAAAATAATAAAATAAAAATAGAAGAGCCAGCTCCCTGGAAGAGGTGAGAAGGACGGGAACATAGCAAGGAAGCTGATGTCGCGTCACCCCCTCAGCAGAAGAGCCACTCTTCTCCTTTGTGGGGCCTCCAGGCTGCTGCAGCAGCTGCTGGGCCTGTTTCCATAGTGGCTGATCCCCTGTATGGCACAGGGGAGGCCGTGGCGGAGGAAGGGCCTGGGCCTACAGCAGCATCCTCCCCTGTCCTATCCAGTCATGTACCTGGTGGGGAGTGGGGCTGCACCCACTTCTCCTGCTGCAAGAGAATCACACAGGGATCACAGCGGGCAGGAGGAACTCCGGCGGCCCATCTGAAAAGCTGAATATGTGGAGCCGCTGCCATCGCCACTCTCCCTGGCTGCCCACTAGGGTAAGAAGTGCGGTGCACTGGTGGGTGGGTGGATCTGGCATCCTCCCAGGGTGGAGGTATTGCAGATTCAGGAGGGGTGCCATCCCCACTGCCCCCGCCTAGCTATGGCACTGTAAGTACTGCTTTGCCAGATCTGGCTGAGCTGGGTGCAAGGAAAGGAAGAGAGAAAGGCTGGATTATTGGAGAAAATGACCTTGGTTAGCAGGCTGCAGTCCAACAGTTAGTGTAGCAGCCATCAGCCAGGGTTGTTTGTCTTGCTCCATTGCTGGCTTGGCTGATGGGTTTAGCATGATCTGTTAGGCAAGTTTGCTTCAGTATTAGAGAAAGGCAAGTCTAGCCAATAGTAGCATGCCTTTTGGTATGCTCAGACTTCCCTGCACCCCTAATGGCTGCAGCCAGAATTGCATCAAAAATAAATGGAAAGATGTTTGGCTGGATGCAGCACGATGCTGGCTTCAAGGGCCCTCCAGCTGACTTGGGCCCCATGAATTTTGTCCCCTCAGTCCCCCTTTGTTGGCAGCCCTGACATTATGGCATATCTTATACAGTGTCACAAGGATTAAGTTTACTTGAAAGAAGAATTTACTTCCAAGTGACTGTATACAGAGCTGGAATTTCACAGGAATTAGTGCCCCCATAGATCAATGGCTGACAAAGTGGGCTCTAGTCCACAAAAGTTTAAGCTAAAATGCAAACACAATAGTATTAAGTGCCACAAGCCTCCCATGTCTCTGTCCCCCCGCATTGTGTTTCCAGTAAGTGATATCATTAAACCCAGGTCAAGAGAACTAAATGATACAGTGAAGACAATATGTTTGAATGCCTCCCATATAAAAAATTCCATGCACATAGAAAATCTGTCCTTCAAGGACAAGGATTCTAGCTTAGCCTTTTGCTAACAGGCTAGTTTCCCATTTTTCAAATATGCCACCCCACCTCCAGTCTGAAATAGTACTGTATAGCAACAGATGCTGCTGATGGTGCAACAACTTCATTCTACAGAAAAAAGAATATTGGGAAATAGGGTGTATTTTTTGAACCACCCTGTACTCCCTGCAGCAGGCTTTGTTAGAGGTTCTGCAATCCTTTGGAACAGTGAAAGCATGTCATTGAAAGTGCATGTTGCTGGTGGTAGCATGAGGAAGTGAGAACACATAACTGACACAGACTCTGTTTCTGTGTGTCCTAGGCAACTGGAACCACTACTTTCCATACAGTAGAAAAAAGCTTGTCTGGAGAAAACAGCTGAAAAAAGACTTCTTTCCTCTAGTTTGGCAGGCACGATATCGATCTACCTACCTTGGCAACCATTACACTCTGTTTATCCCACCCAGGAGTGCAGTTCTAACTTACCTCCTCGTGGTGTACTCTAGAACTTCTGGCTGACAGACAATCGTAGGATCTCCTGGCTACACTACACACATGGAAACAATCAAACAATCCTTCCCAGGACGACTTGACAAAGGGGTATAAGAGACTCTGCCAAATGAATATTGATGGTATAAGCAAGTCTAAATGCCAATACTTGTCGCAAATCTGACAGGCCAATAAAATAGATTTAGCTCTTGTTCAAGAAACTCATCTTGATAATTAAAATCAAGCCTGCCACAGTGGGATATGATGTTATTAGCATCACATACGATCATACCTATGGCATAGTGACTTATGCCAAAAGCAACATTGAAAATGTGAAGCTGGTATTGACCAATGCCCACAATAACATCCACACAATCGTAGTAAAAGTTGGGGAAGTACATGTTGTCAATGTTTTGAAACCTTGTGCAGTTTCACGGCCAGAACATATTCTATCAACTTACTTTCAGCCTTCTGTATATGCTGGTGACTTTAACAGCCACCATGGAAATTGGAGTTAATGATAAGAACAATGAGGCACTTGTCGACTGAGCTGAAGAACATGGCTTGCTTCTTCTTTTTGATGCTAAAGAAAGAGGCACCTTCAGATCAGCAGCAATGAATAGAGTCTAACCCTGATTTAACATTTGTTTCATCTGACCGAAGAAGTCAGTCCTTGCCTATATCCAGATGTGTTCTTAAGGCTTAAGGAGCCAGTTTGGTGTACTGGTTAAGTGCGCGGACTCTAATCTGGGAGAACCGGGTTTGATTCCCCACTCCTCCACTTGCACCTGGCTGGATGACCTTGGGCAAGCCGTAGTTCTGGTAAGAGCTGTTCTTGAAAAAGAGCAGTTTCTGTCAGAGCTCTCTCAGCCCCGCCTACCTCACAGGGTGTCTGTTGTGGGGAGGGGAAGGGAAAGGAGTTTGTAAGCCG